CCCCCCCACAAGTTTTCTCTTTTCTCATTGTATGATATCTTCCAAGAGATTTAACTATATGGGTGCCTAAACATGTATTTAGCTGCTTATATGTAGAGTTTTTCATGTAATTCCACCCCAGGGATGCTACCTGATATGTACTGACTTGGGTTTGTTTGCCTTATGCAATATTGCAGCGGTTTCATGGATATAGTTAACTGACAGTTTGATTTTACTTAAACCATAAATATCTGCTTAACTTCTTCTTTGGTGTTGTCAACTACTGAGAAGAATGCTACTTGCCCACACATCCTTCCCTGTGTGTGTGTGTGTGTGTTGTGTATATATATATTTCTGCTTATTTGTGCCAACTTCTAGAGGAAGTTGCTTATGGAATAGCAGTAAGGTACACTTGCTGCTTTTGCAGTTGGCTAGTTTTGCCTTTGAAATGTGTCAATGACACAGACCTTTGATATAATGGCAAAACATTCTGTTTGGAAAGATTTGCAAGGTAAATGGTTCTAGTGTGATAGCTTACAACCAGATCTCTGCAGATGTGCTCAGACATTCTCCTGTGCTCAATGGTACTTCAAGTGAGCCTCTATAAGATTATAGCCTTTAAAACCTTGGTTCTAATAACTGCATATTCTATAGCGTATTTGTAACTCAGTAATCAGTACTTTCTTGCCCTATAGGAGCTTTAAAAATAATTGTAAATTCAATAAATTTGAATTCAACTTAAATTTACTAAATATTCCTATAAATGAACATAAATTGAGCTCTAGTCTCTAACTGGGGACACATGGATGAATAACACTGTGGTATCCTGAAGTCAGAACAGTTGTTCAACCTCAAACAAAGATTGATGATTAATGTTTCCTTAGTATGTTATCATACAACTGCTAGGAAATGGAAATTGCTGACATGGCTGCTTACATATGCTGTTTTTCATGTTTTGAGTTTAGGAATGATGATGTTATAAAATCTCAGTAAATTTCAGTAATGATACTCTGCTTCCCAACTGTCTGCTCTTTTCAACAGTCAAGCCCTTCCTCTCCAGAACCAGCCAGTCTTCCTGCAGAGGACATCAGTACACATTCTAATGGTCCTAAGCCTGCAGAAATTATACTAGATGATGACAGGGAAGACCTTTTTGCTGGTAACTTATTCCCCACTTTCAGATAGCTTTTACTGAAACTATTTTAATGTTAATGTTTGTTACATTGTGCAGTTTCTCAAACTGAGTATTGCAGTTTATCCTTGGAGAAAAATTATTTTTAAAAACTGGCTTTTAAAAGGATGAATAATACAATACACTCAAATTAGTCTTGAAGCATACTGTAGCCTTATGAACAACAGCTAACAAGCAGATCAAAGCTGTGTAAGCCTTTATTGTATTCTTACTGTATTTTGTGTGTTGTCAACTTGCCAGAGATGTTCAGCTATTCAATACAGAAATGATTACTAAGCTAGTAAATATAAACTTAACTAGGTACAGTTATGATGCAACAAATTATTACAAGAAAGAACTTGTGCATTTGTATTCTCCCAGTGCTCCTTCTCTACATTAAAGATCCAAAATTTCTACTTTCACTCTTGGAAGTAACCATTGTTTTCTGTTAGGGCAACATTGGCTTGATTCTGGTTTAACCACAATTTTCTTGAGTTCATCTGCAAAAGTTTAAAAATAATAGCTGCAGCTTTTAATCTTATGAGTGAAGGAAGGGTATAAGGGGACAGGCTCTGTAATTATTTATGTCTGAACTGGATCATAATCTTAATGTAATATAATTTAGATTTGTATTTCATACTTCAGTATATTTTAAGCCTGTAATGTAATTCTGTATTCCTACTCTGTAATGTAAAATGGGGTTAACTGAAATTGTTCACTAATAAGAATGATTTTGCATGAAGAACATAGTCCAATTAAATTGTCTTCATTTATGCGTACACAGAACAGAAAAACAGTTTTTCAAATGCCATTTCAGAGAATAGCTGCCAGTCTAGACATAAGACATTTTTGGAAATATTGAAGCCATGAAAAAGTTATGGACTTTTTAAAATATAATATTAGAAACACTTAGATTGAAATTTGTTCTGTTACTTAGGAAGATAATATGTATTATAATTTAGTTTGGCATAAAATTAGTAAAGTGGGCATTTTGCAAATTCAGCTGATTCAGGTATAAACTGAATTTATACTATAGGTATAAACTCAATTTACTTGTTTAATTTTGAGTGTGTTGAAGTGGAACACCTAAATTGTAAGGAACCTAGTTTGAGAACATGCAAAAACAAGGGAACCATCACCATTAGTAAAACAAATGCTTCTGTATTTTTTTGTCTTGAGTAGATACAAAGCACTTGTCAGCATAAAATACTCTTGCATTTATAGTCAGGTTACTACCTATAATTGATTGTCCTTAGTACATAAGAACTGTAAAAGGGATGTGATTGCTAATGTAGCCTTAGATAAATGTAGTTTTTAGAAAATGTTTTGAGAAAGCAAATAAAACTTTTTCTTCTTAAAGAAGAAGCAGCCTAGGAAGGCCTTGGCTATTATAGGCAGCCTAGAAATATATGTAAATAAAATATTCCATAATAATTTTTGGCAATGAATACACATGCCTTCAGAAAAAGCAAGGGGAGCATTTTCCACTTTCCCAGAGCTTCACATCTTTATTGCCTGCTTGAATGACATTCCTGTATCCTAAATCTGTGGAGACCAGCCCAGTTGCTTCACGATTTTCCCTGTTTCCATTCTGTGTATTAGACTGATAGAAGGAGCAAATGTGGCCAAATGCCCAAGAGCCCTTCAGCATGAGTGCTCTAGCAATTATGCAAGAGCAACTGTTCTCCTGTATGCTGTTTTCTGTAGGTTGCTTTCTGCCTTAAGATAATTTGCTCTTAAGACGGAAGATAGCTGGTACTATAGACAGTCTATTGTGAATGTGTTTTACTTTCTACATACAAAACTTTAGTGGATTGTTATGCAGTTGTTTGCTGGGAAACTTTGTTACTCAGCCTAGGCAAGATGAAATGGAACTCTAATATAATAGGAACACAGTAACCATATGTTAAATCTGAATCAGTCTTTAGCGACAAATTCTACAGTCAAATTTCAAGCCCAAATTTATATAGGATTAGGCAAAAGCACAGTGCAAAGCTGCTGGGCTGGTTGATCGAAAGGTCACTGGTTCGAATCTGCACAACGGAGTGAGTTCCCGTTGCTCTGTCTCAGCTCCTGCCAACCTTGCAGTTCGAAAGCGTGTAAATGCAAGTAGATAAAAAGGTACCACTTCAGTGGGCAGCTAACAGCGTTCCGTGCACTTCGGTGTTTAGTCATGCCGGCCACATGACCATGGAGACTGTGGACAAACGCTGGCCCCCTTGGCTAGGAAACAGAGATAAGCACTGCCCCCTAGAGTCAGACATTAAGCCAGTAATGTCAAGGGGAAACCTTTACCTTTTAGGCAGAAGCAAGGTATTTAGATGCAGGAAAAGTTAATGATTGTCTCTTTGAATTTCAAATAGCTTCTTTTTCCCAGGATTCCTTATTTTATCATTGTATTTTACTGAGTTTACAATCCAGTGCTCCATGGCTTGATGCATGAAATGCAAGGCTTACGTACATCCATTGCGCAAAGCTCCACCACTAGTACCACACGCTTTCTTTTTGATGGACATTTTCACTTGTCTAGTTGTTAGGTAAGGAGGAAAGCTGGAATGCCAGTAGGAATTCGTATAAGGCAGCAAGCCCATCTTTGTTCCTCAGTGCATCAGTGTTGGTCTTCCCTGAGGCCCTTGGAGAAGCAATTGTGCAGTTGATTCCCCACAAGCTGCATGCGAGACAGGTTTGGGGCTTTGTCTTGGAACCCCAGCTATAAAGTCACAGTATATTATTGCTGGGGCTCCAAAAAAAGCTAACATAGTATAGGTGGCCAACTTGTACTTCATGAGTAGCGGAGAGGGAATAGTATGGCTTCAGGGCTATCAACTTAATACTCTTTTTTCTCCACCTGCCCCTTTTTCTTGCTAATTTGAAAGGGCATGCCCAAGAAAGGAGGAATATTCTGAGCCCATCACTAATAATGGTTCTGAATCAACTGGAGTTGCTGAGAGACAAAATTTCAGGAACAAAAATAGCTTTTAAGCTGCTTGTATATTTGCTTGTTCTCCCAATTTCATATTTATGGTTTTCTTCCAGCAACTTCATGAGGAATAACATGGTTTGCTTAATGAAACAATCCACTACTTCTTAACCATGGATTGCCTGGGAATGTGCAAGAGTGTGTTGGCTCCTGACTGCTCACCCACTGTGAAACCCTGAGTTGGTCCATTCCTGAGTGGTTGTCCATGATGGCCAAACCCTCAAATTTGGGTTACTGAAAAGATAAACAACCCAGTGATTTAACCCAAGAACAAGTAGTGGTTAAAACACTGAGTTGTTTCTTTATCAAAAAACCAAAGTTCTAGGTTTGGATCTCAAACTAGGAATGGGTTGTTCAGTGGACCAAAAGCTGAAGAACAGTCAGGAGCTAGCTTGCTCTCTCCTGAACAACCCATGTTTAGCAATCAGTTGAAAGTTCAGTTGTGTGAACCTGATCATTGTGGCTACAGCCAGAACATTCTGCATAGTTCAAGAAACGAGCATCTGCTGACTTTATTTCAGAAATAGCTAAATAATTGGAGTAAATAGTGTATATGGAGTGGAGGGGATCCTTTGAGATCCAAATTACTTTTGTAACTGATCAGAATTTAACATTGGTGAAAAGTCCATGAAAGCTCAAACTATAATAAATCTGTTAGTCTTTTGTTCTTTGCTGCAGCAGTCTAACTTAGGTGCCCCTCTGAGACCTTTTCTTGTAACTAATGAAAACAATTTATCATATTGGATGCTATCAGAATTGACTTGATCTGTATTTTATATTCTGCAAAATAGAAAATGTATCTCTTCCATGTATATTATATAACAATAAACAAGAACATTTGAGTCTTTCCTTGTCTACACTAGTAAATTATTTGGGTAGTATTTTGGTAATGTACATGACTACTTCTTTTTCTTTTTCTTAGAAGCCACAGAGGAAGTTTCTCTGGACAGTCCGGAAAGAGAACCAATACTATCTTCAGAATCAACTCCAGCTGTCACTCCTGTTACACCAACTACCCTAATAGCGCCCAGAATGGAGTCAAAAATTGTAGCAGGCCCTGTGGATTTTGAAAGATCCAAAGAAGAGGTATTGAATAACCTATTGAGGTGCATTTTATTAGGCTATGATAATGACATGACTTATAATAGACCTGAATTACTGAAATAAATTATGTAGTTATAGGCTGTTATGATGGATAGCATAATTAGCTTGCTATTTCTTTGGCAACAGGTATTTTCTCCTTATGGAAGATTAAGCTTTATCCAGGATGAGACTGTTTACAACCTTCACAACTGAAACAGAGAGAGAGGTTAAGAGACGGATAGAAGGAATACAGAGAGAAAGGAATCAAAGACACAGAGTTAGGGAGTGGGAGGGGGGATTGGAGCTAGAGAAAGGTACTAGAGAGAGAAGAAAGAATGAGCCATCAAGGAAGAAGGAAGAGAGACAACAAGGGAGGGGGAAGGGGAGAGAACAGAAGGAAAAAAGAAGACAAAAGAGCTGGGGTTGGGGGTAAAAAGACAGAAGGAGAGAGAAGAGGCCCAGAGAGAGAGAATGCTAGACTAAGTAGCAGACACAGGGTGTGCATTCATGCATACAAACACAGATTATTATTTAATTTCTGTACTGCTCACTAGCCAAAGCTCTTGGGTGCTTTACATTAACACATAAAAATACAATGTTGTGAACATCATAAAAAGGTAGCAACACAAAGATTAAAAAACAAATTCAAAACATTTAAAAAGTTAGCAGCTTATACAAAGTAACAGGGGTGGTATCCCCATTTGTTTTGCAATTGGCCCTGTACCCTCCACAACAACTAATTTGAGGTGGTGCACTTTCCATGGGCTTGGAAATGTTGGACCCCCCCCCCCCAACCTAGCTTTGACAAAAGAATATCCTCCTCACCATTATTCTAAATGCACTGCAACACTTACCTGCTTTTATGAAGGTGAACAATGATTGAAACAAGAAAGTTCCCTAAGCAACACTTCTTGCTTGGTCTAATGGTATAATAGTAGCAAAGGAAGCTTTTCATAATATTCTTTACTTTATTCTCCCAACAACTCTGAGGTAGACTAGGCCAAGGGGCAGTAACTGACCTAAAGTCATTGAGTTTTAAGGCCAAATGGGACTTAAGTTAGGATCACCCAAGTCCCAGTCCTATACTCTAACCACAATTCCACACTGGTTTATGGTTTGTTGTTATAGTTACTATTGATCTTGCTCTTTAATCTTTGCTTCCTGCTGTATCAATTATGGATTTCTGTATTGTGTGTAAAGGTTGCTTCAGGAGAGCTTTTTGTGATGGGAAATGCACATAAATTTAATAACTTATGAATTATGTTCCCTCTTTCTAGATTGAAGAAGAAGCTAATGGGGACCTCTTTGACATTGAAATTAATGTGTCAGATCCAGAAAAAGTTGGTGAGTTTAAACATTACTGAACATTGCTAGGATTTGAAAGGATCACCTTTTATGTAGCTACCTTAATTATGAGAACCAGCATGGTATAGTGGTTAAGAGTGCAGGAGTGGGACTCGGGTGATCTGGGTTCTAGTTCCCGTTCAGTCATGGAGCCAACAGGGTGACCTTGGGCCAATCACAGACTCTTAGCCCAGGCTACCTCACAGAGTGGTGGTTGTGGGAATAAGACTGAAAGGAGGGGGAGTACAATGATGTAAGCTGCTTTGAGTTCTTTGTAAGAAAAAAGATGGAATATAATTAACTAATTCCACAATAAAAATGTTAAAATAGTTGTCATGTCAATTTTTCAAGATTTCTTTGACTACTTCAGTATTGATATATGTCTGTTTCCATAGGTGATGGCATGAATGCTTACATGGCATACAGAGTAACAACAAAAGTAAGTGTTGTGAAATGCAGGAAGTTTGCTGTTATGCCAGATAAATACTGAATAGTTTAGAATTACCTCTTTGTGTATTTTTAGACTTCTCTGTCCATGTTCCACAAAAATGAATTCTCTGTTAAAAGAAGATTCAGTGACTTTCTCGGCTTGCACAGCAAATTAGCATCAAAATATTTGCATGTTGGGTACATTGTGCCTCCAGCTCCAGAAAAAAGTATTGTAGGTAAGTGCAGTTTTGGGCAAACATTGCATTGCATTAACTGTCAAGTTAGCTTTATTTACAGTCACAGTCTTGCTGATTTCAGTTTTTCCTTAATTAAAATAGTTTCATATTTTGTTCCATTTTTGATCTGAAATTAATGAGCAGATTAAATTATGTCTTACATTTTAAAAGGTGCCAGTGCAACATTTTTGTGTTAATCTCTTACATTACATGGTTAAACACTGCTTGATTTTGGTGCACTTGTCCTTTAGTCCACATGATAAATCTTAATGTTTTAAAGATTTTTTGCAATCCATCTATTGGTTTTCATATTTGAACCTCTCTAAGGATTTTCTTTTCCCTTTATGCCCATTGAGTATTACAATTTGATTTGTTTTCTCCAAGCACAAATAACTAACATCCATTTTTGTGTAGATGAATTGTCAGCCTGCTGACTAATCTGTCATTTAACATTTGGTTCTCGTTCAAGCCTATCAGGCCCTCTCATAGTATACTTGGTGCTTCCAGGTTAACAAAAATAATACCAAATCAGACTTGGTGAGAAATGCTTGTGGCAACAAGAAATGCTTGTTTGCAGATGCTGACAGTCTAAGAAAAAGCAAAGTGAGCCAGTGATTGGGTATTTTTCAGTACTCACCAAGACTGTTAAGTGACATTTGGAAAAGAGAAATAGGAGGAAGAGTGAATTGGCTTGCTTGAGACTCTTAATACTTTATCCCAGATGTCTTGTACTTGAACAGGAGGACTCCTGCTAAGGGGATTGGTATATATTGCTGCATTTTGTTGTAGATTCCACTTGTTGCCTACAAAGTAAATACACATTCTGGTTGTGATATGAGCATCACTACTCCTTTCTAATTTTAATGGTACAATATATACATTTTGGGGTGAAGTTGATTAAAGCAACATCATCAAATTATTGGATCACTATCATGTCACTTCCTTCAAAGGTATGACCAAGGTAAAAGTAGGCAAAGAAGACTCATCATCAACAGAATTTGTAGAAAAAAGAAGAGCAGCACTAGAAAGGTAATCATGCATGCCTCCATTATTAAATGAACTCCTAAAGTTTGTATACAGGTTCTAATATGATTTTAAGCATGGAGTACCTAAAAGTTAGGTACCTTTAGGTACCTATTCTGTTGCATGACAAACAGTTGAAATAAAAGCTATCAAGCATGGTCTTTTACAGATCACTTTGCAAAACAAAACTTTCCATATAACAAATATAGCAGAATTAAATGTGTATGTCTTATGGTGTGTCCAGCTATCCATCCTTCCAGCCACAGATCAACATTTGTGAGCAAAGCAGATTGCATCTCCCCCTGCAGTGTTCCATGTCCCCCCAAATCTTCCATGTCCTTAAGAACTCCCATTATTGAATTCATCCTGTAGGTTTTCCCTGCTGTGGAGTCCTTATCACATTGTTCTGAGTTAAGATCAGCTTTGCTTACATCAAAGATACACATTTGACTACTCAGCAATTGTTTTCCTTTAAAGTTAGGAACTTGAACATTACATGGTCACTTCTTCAAGATTTCTGCTACTTTTACCCAATGAAATAACTTTTCCCTATTGGTCAGAATCAAATCAAAGATGGCTGATCCACTTGTTTCTTTAGAGAATAGGGCAAGGGATAAGTTGGCAGCAAAGTGAATCAGTGATTTCCTGGAGCCATGATACTTGGCAGAGTATTTCTTCCAGCAGGTATCATAGCTAATTATCAAGTTAGCATGTTGAGTCACCTTTGCTAAGTTGGAAAGGTGAAGACCTGCAGCCCAGTGGGTGACCACCTGCAAAAGCAGAATAGGAGTAGAATTTGATGGTCTTATAGGCCCCTGCCGACTCTACATCTGTTCTGTTCAGTTCATTCCTACTATGTTCATTGAAACCTCTGAAGTTTGCTTTTGGAAAGCATCATGCATGTAGTCTCCTTGGTTTGCCTGGTGAAAAATGTATGCTAGCCATACTATTGCTTTTTATTCCTTCCTTCATTTGTTTGAACCCTGATGGTTTCAATAGGGTCACCATGTTCATTCTCATCAGTAACTGTGCAGGTGTGTTTGTAGCATACAGTGCAATACCTTCTTGCGCTCTGTGGCTCCTTCTATTTGAACAAGTTAAACTCTTCAAGTGCTATATTCCAGTCATAGGAATCATTCCACCATTATACCTATTAAGTCACATTTACCTTTGTGATTCAAGAACTGAAGTTCATACTATTTATTTCCCATACTCAGCAGATTTGTATAAAGACAAAAGCCATGAGCTTTTGCATTTTTATTAAGATACAGTCCTACAAATCCCACTAGAGCTTCTTTTCCAAGTTTTTTTTTTCCTGTAGTGAAAAAACTACTATGGTCTTTATTTGTAGACCATATTTCTGGGTTTTCATTTCCATCACCCATAGGATTTAGCTTAATGACCACCTGATGAAGCTTGCTGTACTTTGAGCAAACACATGCAGAGTTCTTAGAGTGTAGTCAACTTTCTCCAGCAGTACTTAATCTAAAAAGTATCAACCATAGTCCCAGAAATTATAGCTTCAAGTGAAAACATGTCCATAACCAGTTTACCTGCTGAATTCTTGTTTCCCTTTCTAGTCTCTTCTAAGGACCTGAAGAATGGATAAACCCCAGAGTCCTTCCTAGAGTTTCATAGTGCAACACAGTGGGGTTATAGCTGTACTCTACTGTATTGTTACCCTGGCTGATCAAAAAAGTGAAATTATTAGTGAAATTGATGAGCTATAGAAGCCACTATCACATCTCTGATCTGTGATTCTCAGAAACAACATACTTTTCAAATCAACAGATCTGACTTGCCAAACATTCCCTTCTGTTTCTCTCACTAAAAAGTCATCAGCCATGTTCTTTTATTTCCTGTTACTGTATGGAACAGTTCTATCTCTTCTGTTATGAGGGTTCCAGCTTCTTTCTTCCTGTCCAGAAAAGCTTGTTGTGACTCTTCCCTGAAAGATCAGAGCTGTCTTCTACAAGAACCGCAAAATAGTTCAAGTGGCAGAAAATGAATCTTAATCTCATCCCCCTAAGTGTTGCTGTTGTCTGTGCTGTTGTCTGTGTTGATTCATCCTCTTTCTGAATAGCCCCCTGCAATTGTTCTTGCAACTACTTCTTTGTTCTGTCAAAGAATTCATCTTTATGGACATTTGCTATTCCAGATCACTGACATTTTCCTTTAGTAATAAAGCCAGTTTGTACTTGCTACAAATGTACACCATGTTATCTTCAGGTAGGTACACAAAAATGCCACATACTTTGCCAATCACCAGTGCTGAATTGCATTGTAATAATTATGTAACTATTAAAACCAACTTTATTATTTTCAGAAATTGAAAATTTAATTAATCAATTCTAAAACTGTAAATAATCAAACAGCACACCTAATTTAAATTACACTGTAAATAAAACAGTAAAAGGTCATCACCAGATTCAGAACAAGAAAATAAATTGTATATTTAGTAGCAATTCTTTTTCAGTAATAAGTGGAACCAAGTTTACTGCAAAAGTGTACCAACTGAATTTTATTTTCTAAAATGAATTTAGCTTCAAGAACAAGCTTCCATGTTTTTCCCTGTGCATTTACTCATTTCAGGTATTATCTATGCCCACTTGTCAGCGTGTGTGTGTGTGTGTATTGCTGTTGTGCCCATATGAGAAAATTATGTTCCTGTTAAACCAGACTATTCATATAATTTGACAAAGACTGGACCAAGTGCTGCTGCTTGTTCTATAATCTTCACTATTTTCCCCCATTCTTTGCTAGGTGGCATTGATTTCATTTCTGTATGACAGAAGCATTCAGCAGCAGATGTGGGTTAATTAGCTTGCATATTGCAAGAATTTGTATTGTGCAGGAGCTGCTTGAATGGATGAAAACCTTTATTAGCATTGGCCACAAGCTTTCGCATATAAAATAAGAATATACAAAGATAAAAGCACAAATTGTACTGGGAAAAAATTACTCTAATATAGATTATAGGATGTAATATGAAAATAACTACATAAACTATTACACATTTCATCAAACTATGAAATTAGAGCTTTGATGCAATAGTGGATCTTATTTTAAATTTTGCAGTTCTCACTGTAACCTGTTTATTTCGATAAGCGATAAGAAAGACGTAACAGAAGCCGGTTGCTTTGGAACATAACAATAGTGGAGTAATGGTCTCATTCTGTATATCTTTATAGAAGGTTCAAATTAATACTGTTTCAAGCAGAAGCTGCTTCCAGTTTTGCAATTCAGGGATGGGTACTATTATATACAAACCCAGGCACCTTGGGTTATTAATGGGCTAAACAAACCAAAGTTAATTCATAGTTTATTCTTCTGTTAACTTTGAATTGTTTCTAGACTAAATAACCCATAGAGCCCAGGTTTGGGCATCACAGAAATATACTACAACACAACATTGGTAAGTTGTTGCTGGAAACTGAAAGCAGCATGCTTTATCAGCATTTATGTGTCCATTAACTCAAGATCTGCCCAAGTGCTACTATTGAAAATATCCTCTTCTGACACTTCCAACAGATGGATAAATCTTATTACTGCCCATGCAATCTCTCTCTCTCTCTCTCTCTCTCTCTCTCTCGCTCTCTGTTTTTCTGTTCAAAGAAAATTTGAGTCCTATTCCAGAAACTTTTCCAGATTTTTGTGGGGATATTTTCCTATATTTTGTGCCCATTTAATCATATAACATCAGTATTGTATGTTAAGAATAAGCTAGACAATAGAAGTTGCTTATTTTTCATAACTCTGTTTAAGCTGTTCATTTAATAAGCATCTGATTTCAAAAAATTCCAACCATGGAGGACTTTTTCTTTTCGGTCCTCTCTTTAAGTCTGAGTAAACTATCATTCTGGCACAGTGCCTTGCAGAAATATTTATACACATTCCCTTTGACTTTTCCACATTCTGTTGTGTTACAATGGAGAACTGAGTATCTTTTATAGGAGGGCCAGGATCTCTTGTCAGTCATCTCAGAATGCAGGACACAGCATAATGGGCTCAAGTTAACAGAATAATGAGTTCTGTTATAGATTCTGAATAACAATCAGGAAAGACTTCATGACTGTTAGTTGGTGCTATTGTTATATTGTACTATCTAGGGAGGTTGTGGGCTTTCCCACATTGGAGGCATTCAGGATGCAGCTAGACAGCCATCTGTTAGAGATCCTGTTAGGAAGCCCTTTATAGAACTGGGATTATTCAATTGGCCTGTTGGCTTCTTCCAAATCTGCTGTTCTATGATGGAGTAATAATGCTAATTATAGATCCATTTCATTTTAAGGTTGTGACACAACAAAGGGATGTGAAGATAAATGTGCACTTAATGTTTTATAATCTTTTATTAACTGATATTTAAATATTGGTTTTTATGCATTTGAGTATATTTTCCATAGTTAATATGCATTTGAGCTTTTAACTTTCTGAAAGGAATAAGGCTTTATTAAGCAATTTGTAAGGCAATTAATAGAACTAGCAGTACTACCCAAAATACAAGGTTGGTACTGCCAAATTTTTCCGTCTTTTTGATAAAGAAAATTTTAATGCAAATTAACCCTTCTCTATGGGAAGATATCTCTTATCTTAGAGGCTTCGGTGTATCCGATGCTCTGTTGGGCCGCTACAGACCTCATCTCAGATCTTGACCTTGCCATCTTCCTTTTACATGTTTTTTCTTCTAGGTGGACTTTTGAGCCTGTCTAGACATAGGGTATGCTGAAAGGGCTTTGACAGAGACTTGAGGGGGTTCCTCATAACTGGTCTTTCCCCTTCCCAGTTCCCATCTACTGTAATGATCCCTTTTCTCTCTCTCTCTAAGACTTCAGTTTTGAACTTTTGAAGCAAGTGGTGTGGTTCTTGCAAAAGAACGTAATTGGAATTCAAAAGGGGGCAAAAGAAGGTAATTGGAATTCAAAGCCCCCATCTCTAGACCATAGCAGTGTTTACAAGCTTAGTTTGGGATCCTGAGCAGTGCTATATTCCCTGGGATGTTCTCCAGGGACCATAGGATTTATCTTCGATTGTTCCAAATATGCTTTAAAATAAATTGCTGCTATGTTTTTGTACTGCCCAGTCAGTCAAATTGCTCTAGGTTTACTGAGCTGATATCTTAACATACAAGGATTGAAATAAGTTTTTATCTTTGGTGATGTCCGTTCACTTATTCCTGAATATGATTGCAATTTCTCTCATTGTTTATGAGTAACATATTCATTATATAACTCATGTGGGTGGGTGTGCTCTCTCTCTCTTCCTGATAGTTGTCATTCATCTTATTTGTCATCTTGTAATAAAAATATTTTACTTTTTTTCTTGACATCTATAATTAAATTTATTCTTAAATTTATTCTTAAATTTATTCTCAATCTGCAGTCACACTAATCCCTTGAACTTCTATTTATATTGTATTCAGTTTATATTCAACTAAGGAGCAATGAGTGAGCATTCTTCTACATTGCCTGGCCCTGCTTAAAGACAGGCAGAGTTGATGTCACTACACTAGTTCTCCTTCACAACAGAGAGCAACTTTCATACTATTATTTCACTATCCCTACAGAGAAGATTTTTAGTTTTGTCATCATTGTCAGGCTGAGAGGAGATTACTTTCTCAAAAGCGCAGATAAGGCAGGGATTTCCCTTCTTTTTGAACTTCTTTCAGAGCACCTAATGGTTGTAATTTTCCTGCATATGTATTCTACTAACTGAAGAACTGCAATGCCTTATCCATTGGTCAGAGTTGGACTCTGGTCCATTATCCCTATTTTAAAAACCTATGATTGCTACTAAGCCAATATAAGGAAACATTAAGTCTACTGTAGAGCAAGATTGTAAATAATTATGACAAAGCATGTCTTGTACACTTGTTTAGATTGAAGCAATGTGGAAACTGGGATCTTTTCAGACTTGTGGTTCGCCTCATTTACCATTAAGTATTCCAGTCAAACTATTATTAATGCTGGGTGCTTATGCGGAATAATGTTTGATACTTTCTACCCTACAAATGTTGTGTAAATTGATTATATAAACCTACTGTAAACCAATTATATAAATCTATTTGATCTATTGGAATGATCTACCACAGCTAGAATCCTTTATTCTGGCTAAATGACATGCTCTAGTCCATTATTAGAATGATAAAACAGAAAATCTGAACTCAAGTTGCCCAAGAATAGAGTAAACTGGAATGGAAGATATTCTAAAGAGATACAACTTATAAACCTGCTAAAAATTACTAAAGCCAGGTATACTACTAAACCTAAAAGGGCTAATGACAGATTTATTTCTTAAATAGGCACTAGAATGCTATACTGTCTTAAATATGTTGAAGTGATGACTGACTCAGAGTAGCAGGCAAGTGCAGAACACTTACTGGCTGGAGGGTTGCCACTAATTTGCCGTATTTTATGAAAAGTCTGAATGATAAATTGCACATATTGCATTTCATTCCAAGAAATATTGTAAAATACTAACAAGTGGAACAATCCTCAAAATTTGGACATGAATATACTTGGATGTGTTTTAGCATCCATCATTTGATTTGACATACATAATCATAACTACAATGTCTCCTTAAATACAGGCTGATTCTCAAAACCATAATGAGGATTTTTCTTCTTTGTAAAATAGTTAGTCTAGCTTTTAGAAACATGGATACGTAAGAACCAGCTATGGAAATACATCCATCCATGGAATGACTCTAAGAAGACTGATTTTTATAACTCATCGATTGGGACTATGTAAAATTTGACATGGCTCAAGGAAAGTGAATCAGTGGTCCAGTTATGGACAAGGGGCAGTGAAAGCTCTGATTGCCTCTTCTAGAAATCCATTTTTAGAAGACCATCTTGGTGGGCCTTGATGTCTGACACTGAAGTCAGTGAGGAGTAAAGCTTACAGATTTCATTCAAGCTGCAGCCTTTCTGCCTTCCCTCATAATTAGAGAACTAAATGAGTATGCACCTACCTGATGAAATATTAAAATAAAACTGTTTGTGGAATCCTCCCACCCCACAATATGCACATGCTGAATTAAGTTTTTATCTAGTAATACAATAGCAGTGGTTGATATAAGGGAGTTCAGAAAGGTCTGATGGCTTTTTGTAAATAAGTGAATCACTGATAGGTTGCCCAATGTATCTTGTTCTGTACTTTCGTATTTGAGGGCTGGAGGAAACTTGTGATATATCCCCAGGCATGCAGCAGGGGATGGGACTGAGATTTTTTGAGAGAATATCATAGACTGCTTAGTCTCAGCCTGTGAGAGGAGAAGGAAGGTAGCTTTAGTTTTCGCTTATAAGGAGGTTTGCCCTGCATTCTCTCACATGAGCTTAAATTACCACTGAGCTCTTAGGGGGCATTATACTCAAAGCAGTAAAGTAGAAAATAGGTTAACAGTAGTTGCTAAAAGTACCTAGAGCTCATTTTAGTGCCAGGCTTTGAACTGAAGCTGAAGGACAATGTACAGACCACAAATGCATTCTGTGCATGGCGAACATTTTTTCAGTATTGTCAGGAACACTAAATGTTATCTAATTTTTAAAACCATAGGTATCTACAACGAACAGTAAAACACCCAACCTTGTTACAGGATCCTGATTTAAGACAGTTCTTGGAAAGTTCTGAGGTATTTAAATTCTCCTATTTCTCTTTTAACCTACAGTGATACTTTACACACGAAATTGTCATATGTGGAACACTGGTCCTTCTGTGCAAAAATTTCAGTTGCATCCTCAAGAGACTTGAATTATTTCAACCTAAGGAAAATAAGATCCTGGACAGTTGATCTAATGCAAGACAAGTGAGAGCATGTTTTCTCATATCGTTACGAGAAGTAACTTGATTAACTCTTTACCAAAATAACTTGCCTATCTCAAAACTAACCAGTTTTGAGTAGAAACATGCTAAATAGATTAAATCCTTGAACTGCAGCTACATAAACGTGTAATCAGCTACATAGCAATTGGTTTGTGGATAGAGAACAGGCACCTTTTAAGTGAAACTCAAACTCTTTTTCAAAATCTATCTAGCTTTGGAAATTACTATTTCAGTAGTTGCTGTTATTGTTTGCATCTTGGTTTGTTTACTATCAGTAAGCTTAAAAAGCTGCAGGAATCCTGTAACTGTGTTAAAAACAAAAAAAAGAATGGATTTGATAATGGTACTTTGTTTAAGGATCATCAAATCATAATTGATCCATTTAAAAATTGGAGACTTAACATGATCCAGTCTATAGGCAATTATCTCCTGTAGCCTCAATTCATAAATCACTGATAGATTTCCAACCCCTTCCCCCAGCCCCATAGAAAGAATACCATTATCACATCAGACATGATCAGCAGGATGTAGGAAAGGTATACCTAAACCCTCAAATCTCAAAATGTGGATCCTGGAGAAAAACTCTTAAAGGGATGTCATCCTGAGGCATAAATCATTGGATTGGTGCTTCACCAGCAGATTGGGGATTCTTGTGGTCTTGCAGGCACCTCTAACATGTGTGGGACTGTGAAGAAGTGAGCCAATCACTGAAATTTGCTTCTGCATACCTGTGGGCTGCACTTGTTAGTGAAAACATTGTTTTCACTAGCTGATATCTATGTAATCTTGGATAAGCAATTGCAGTACTAGTTCACAATGTTAAACCTTTTACTGTAACATAATAAGGCATCTTAGGTCTGGTGTTTTATATGCATGAGGTAACTCTAGCACATATTTTCTTGTGTCACTGTACCTGTGACACAAAAACACTAGCAGGGTGTCACCCTACTTCTCCTGTTGGTATACAGGTAGCCAGTTAAGGCATTTCGTGGTATTGTAACAACTTTTGACAAATGGTCTCTGTGTTCTATCTAAATGTAAAGGTGGAGAAGAAAAGCAAATTGAAAGTCTATTTTTTTAAGTTTTCCTCTGAGAATGTAAAAGTAGTAAATTTAAGAAATTAGGTTCCACTATATTGAAATGTATGAGGGAGAAGAAAACACTACATCCTTTTCAGTCCCTTTGGTGGCCAGTTAAACCTCCAGCCTTTTAACCGGTTTGTTTGCCCTTATTTGTCATTCAATTCCAGCTGCCGAGAGCAGTTAACACTCAGGCTCTGAGTGGAGCAGGAATATTGAGGATGGTAAACAAGGCTGCCGACGCTGTCAACAAAATGACGATCAAGATGAATGAATCGGATGCAGTAAGAGCTGATTTTTCGACTTGAATAATGAGATGAATTAATGAGGCTCAACAGTTGCATTTTAAGACTGTAGGAGTAGAAAATGGGATATTAATTTACTTATTGGCTTGCATTCTCAACTATATCAGTTGACCACCATGTTTATGCCCAGTTAATTTGTTTCCTTAAGATGGGGGATGTAGTTGCAGTGGTAATATAATTTGTAATGGTTGATTTTCCCCTCTTGCCAGTGGTTTGAAGAAAAACAGCAACAATTTGAAAATCTTGATCAGCAACTTCGGAAACTTCATGGTAGTGTAGAAGCCCTGGTCTGTCACAGAAAAGGTAGATATTTTAATCCAGTTTTCACTTTTTCACCTTTGTCAATTTGTGTATGTCAAATATTCCTACTCAAAACTTAAATACTTTCAATATAGGAAGTCAGTAATAAAGTGAGTCTCACACTGTGTATAATACTTTTAATTAAGCAGGCACTGTTTCAGGTTTTTTTAGTGGTTAAGATAGCTTTACAATTGTAGAATACATTTTTTCATTAACTACATTTAATATCAGTTAGCTTTAGTTTGTAAAGTGATTCAGTACCTGGAATATTCAATAATGTCATACTTATTTGAACTGAGCAAATATATTTTATTTCATTGCATTATCTGTTATTTGCTACAGCAAACTTATAGCAAAATAGTTTTTAAAATAGGAAATAGTTTGTTTAATCTTGTTAGATCAATATTGAGTTAGGCTAATAAAGGTATGGATTTTGGAAATGGTTTTGGATTTTTAAACCTGGTCATTCTTTAATTTAAAAAATCTTGTTTATAAAAGTCAGTTCTATTAAGTCAACCTCTTCAATTGAATTATTGTTTTAAAAAATCGACTATTCAATATTAGAAGCACTCCTGCTGCCATATCAAAGTAGTATCCTTTAATCATTTTTAACAACCCCAGTTACACAAGATGAAGCAATCCTGTGACCCCCAGACTTTGCCTGAGGTGCTGTAGGATACTGAGAATTCTTCCAGTCAAACTCCCATACCTACTGTAGTGAGTGGAGAAAGAACCACCAGCTGGCCCCTAAGGTCCGAAAATTAACCTTGGAGAAAAAAGAAGGGGAACATTCAGTTGCCTTCCCTCCTGAAGCCACTAAAGCCAGTCATTAAATAATAGTTGAAAGCCAAATCTTATAATAAAATATACAAAGTGGGAGAATGGAAAGATGATTTCCGCTGTTATTCTCACTATACTCTGGAAAATTGGAAGCCTCCATATGTGGGAGTTTCTAGTCATCAAAGGCACCATTGATAGGATAGTGCCCTATTGGCTTACATATCCTCATCTAGACAAAGTCAAAGACCCTACCCATGCATAAACCCTCAAGAATGTAAGGGTGAACAGGAGTAATGATCATATAAACTATATTTGTAATATTAACCTGTTTGTTCAATATATTAAGTGCTATCTATGAATTGAACAACTGCCACATTATTTAAAAGTTGTGTTTAATATTTTTAAAGATTTTATTTGAAGGTTTTTAAAGGTTTTATTTTTGAAGGCTTTATTTTATGGAAAACAGTTCAAAATGAAGCTAAGAATCTATTCCCAGGTTTGATATCTACAAAGAATTGCTCACATCGACATCTGATTTATTGAAGGGCAAAGGACATTTCTTGTATTTTGTGTTTTGTTGTAAATTTGGAACATGGAAGTGGGTGAGCAGAAAAATTGATGTGAAATGCAGAAAATATGTTTATTGAATTGATCTGTTTTTCAACCATTTTTGGTCCCTGTAAAATGGCTTTCTAGGAACAACGAGTATGTATATAAAATGACATTTAAGTTTCCATTTTGTATGCATGCAAAATGACTAAGTTTCCATTTTGTGATTCACTTTAAGTAAATGTCAGCTTTTACTAGATTTATTTCTGTTTCAGAACTTTCAGCCAACACAGCTGCCTTTGCTAAAAGTGCTGCCATGTTAGGGAACTCAGAAGACCACACTGCTTTATCAAGAGCTTTGTCTCAGCTTGCTGAAGTTGAAGAAAAGATAGATCAGTTACATCAAGAACAAGCTTTTGCTGACTTCTATGTGTTTTCTGAGCTTCTCAGTGATTATATTCGCCTTATTGGTGCAGTAAAAGTAAGCCCTTTTGATTTTTTATTGTACCAAGCCATGAAAGACCAACCAGACAAAAAATAAATACATAAGAACACAAGTACCCCGTCAATGTTACTTTTTTCTTAGATTTATATTTAATGTAAAATAAAAACAAATGAGCATTAGGTACAAGGTAATAGAGACCTTAGTTTCAACCTAAAATGCCTACTTAATGATTATCTGTGATACCTTCATTTTTTGTTCTTTCTAGTATCCAGACCGTTTTGTACTGTGAAGAAATATTATATCTGATTGTCCATCCTATTCATGTAACCAGTAATATCATGACAGATTTACTTAGACCCTTTCACATTAATCTTAGGATTTTTTATTATGGCTGTTTTCCATACCATTTTGTACCAATAATCTAATCCCTGAAATGTAAAGCCCTTCCAATATCTTGTAATTGTGTACCTGATGGTGAGAAGTAAATGAGTAATTCACTTCTTACTATGCAAGTTTTTAGCTTCTCCCCAAAAGTGATTCAGTAATGCTAGGATTGGTGAGTTTGGTTCAGTTACAAACCAATATACTCCAATTGTCTATTACTGCTACCTCCCCCCCCCCCAAAAAAACCGCTCCTGGACCTTTGTATTCCCCATTTAAAACCCTACCTAAATTTCATCAAGACAAAATTAATATTGAATGCATTATTTACACAGTGTAAGTATAACAAAAATTCATGCCTATAATTAGAAAAAGGAGTTACCTTTTCTATATTGGATTATATTGTGCTCCATCTGACCTTAGAAATGCTTACCAGCAATTTGCCCCTGAAGTTAATTTGTGTTTTCATATAAATCATAAAAGTCATCAACCTAACTTAAATAAAAGTACAGATCTCATTATACATTAATGAATCTGATGCTTGCTTTTACCATCCTTTGTACAAAACAAGACAGTACAAAGTAAAAAATTAGTCTTGCTTCTCACTTAGTCATTGACCAAGATCAAAAGAAATTGAGATGAGTTTTTTAAACCCAGCTAGGTTATATTCTTTAACACTGTATCCATACTGTTTCAGAATTAATGTAATATGACATGTAGCCAGGTGCTCAGAATCAAATTTATTAGATGAGTATGAATAAGATAGGACTACATAGCTTTTTAAATTCGAATGATACTATAGATTGATACCTGTAAGCTTTACTATACCTTCTAAGTGATAACCAGAGCACAGTTTAATGTTTACAGGATGATAAATGTTTTCTTTTAGAGTCTGAGATTTTGAATAAGCTTACCCATATTACATACAGGGTGTGTTTGATCATCGGATGAAATGCTGGCAGAAATGGCAAGATGCTCAGGTGATGTTACAGAAAAAACGAGAAGCTGAAGCTAAACTGCAGCTTGCCAACAAACCTGACAAATTACAACAAGCTAAGGATGAAATCAAAGAGGTACATTTTCTTTTCCATGTGAAACTGTTTCGCCCCTTCTTTCCATTCATTGGCTTTAGTGCATCCCTTCTTGAACTGATTTTAATCATTGCTTTTGTGTTCCATTACCAAAAAAAAGTAGTTCAGTATTTTCATGCATAACTTAGGCTGAATGAATTCTGAAATATTCATTCTGATGTTTTACAAAGCAAGTAGGTGACTTCCATTTTCTCCCAAAGTAAAAAGCTTTGAGACTTGACATCAGTCTGTTTTCTGCTTTACAGTCAAGTGCATAATTTGAAAATTTGCAGATCTTTAAGTGCTAAACAGTTGGTATTTTACTTACTAACATTTCTATCCATATATATATCTAGTTATTTGATATATGTGTGGCATAACTTTAGTGAAAGTGTCAAAACATCTTGAAGTTTTCATAATCTCTGCCCTTTTTCTGTCATGCTTCACTAAGGAAATCGAAGAGGTAGGATAACATCCGTTTTGCTTCCCCCCCTTGCTCTGGCTGCTTCATAATCACAATATAATGCTATGCAAGTCTTCATTCATAAAATAGTTTTTTTTTCTTATCAAAATAGTTCATTTTCTCCAGCTGAGAGCCCTGTGGGTCACTGGAAAATGCATAAACATACAGGAATGCACTAAAGCAGGTGCACATATAAGATCCCTATTTCCATTCCTATGAGTAAAGTAACAGTGTGATAAGTGCCTTTCACTGTGCTTTTAACCAAAAGTACATGTTAGAGTTGATTCTGAACTGGCATTTGAAAGTCTTCTGATATTGGCTTAGCAGCTGCAGTGGCAAGGTTAGTAGCTACTAATGTACTACTACTGTTAGTAGCTACTGGTGAAATATTTAGCTGTGTGTAAGGTGAGCATGGAGGAGGAGCACACAATCTAGTCTATTTCTGATTGCTTCATGGAAGGATTATATGTATACCAACCCTATATAGATTTAGATACAATTGCACAAAATGTATTTTGTTTATCAACACCAGATTTAGGTAGGCTTCTTTATTACTGATGGCTTGCATTATCACCTTGTTGCACACTACTGCAAATCTACATAAGTTATCTACATATCAGCCAATTCCCATAAATGGTTTGCTGTAAGTTTAGAGCTACTTTGTTTTTAAATTTAAAGTGACTTATGTGTGGGATTCTAATATTTATAACTATTTCTAAGTGTCAGACATCAAATACTTAGAAGAAGGTATCTTAAATTAGGTTGCAATTCAATCTGCATTCATGAGCTCTGTGTGTAAGCATGCTTCCACTTCCTGCTAAAACCTGCATGTATTTGAAAACCTTTCCATTATGGTTTTTGCAATGGAAGAATGGCCCACCTGAAGGCTCACTGCAACATCAATATGGCTTAATTAATCCTTGTTTTCAGTAGAATTCTTTTTATTTGGAATGATTTTTATAGGTATTGAAAAAACCAAATACCTTGTGTTTAACACTACAGTCATTAAGTGTGTGTTTAATATGTTGAAGGAAGCTTTGGCAATCCACTAACACCAACTAAAGTGGTACCTTGGCTCATGGACCAAATCGGGTCACGAACAGAAAATTTGGCAAAAAGGGGTGATGATCGCGATCATGCCCATCTTTCCTGCACGAGCATGCCCACGATTGCGCTCATCTCCCCCCGCTCAGGAAGATTGTGGCCATCTCCACCCCCCCCCAAGCACTATCACTATCGCATGATTATGGTTTTGACTCTTCCTCCAAACAATAGTCTTCCCACCCCCACCTAGGTTAGTGTTCTCTACTGTACTTTGTCACTTTGTTTCAAATTTTGGTTAACCTTATTTACATTGACCCTTATGGGGAAATTTGACTTGGCTCATGACCAATTTGGGTCATGACCAGAGTCCTGGAACGGATTAAGTTCATGAGCCAAGGTACCACTGTATAGGGTCAATTGCCAGTCTACCAGAATACCTTTAAGTGCTATACACATCTATGGTTAATGTACTGCACCTTTGAAATTGGAATGTTAGAATACTCCATAATTCCTAAATTCAGGGGCAATTATATGCATCTTAGTGCTTGCATCACCATTAATCATTTTAACCTCTGTCGGTATAACAATGTTTAATATATTTTAAATTGTAGCCTTATTGCTGCTCATTGGTAGAGCTCTTTGAAGAAGGGTAGTATTTTGCTTTTCTCCTTCTGAAACTTTTTGTGAAGTTTTGGAATGAATTGTTTGGTTTTGTATGGAAGCAATTGGATCTTACAGGTCATTCCTGAGCCTCAGTGTCTTAGACACCTGCCATTCTTCAGTTTTAAATTTATTACACACCCTTTGACTTGTAGCCAAGTACAAAAAAACATAGACTGTAGGTCTTCTCTGGCTGTAGAAATGCTATAGAAATGAAAGTTCTGATCCTGTACATACATAGTACTTCATACCCTAAGCTGGTAACTTTGTACTATCCTTATTAATTCTAATGGTATTACTAATACTGAACTGGACTACATAATGAACAAAAATAGGAGGAGCCATAGGCTAGTGATAGCATACATTCTTTGTATGTAGATGCTCCACGTCCAATCTCTGGAATCTCCAAGAAAGTCTTGTCAGGATTTCTTCCTGAAATTTTGAAGAGCTTCAGGAATGGGCTAGATGGACCAACTGTTAGATTCAATAGGGAGCAGTACTGTGTATGAAAATCTTCAAAGGTGACTGAATTGCAAAGAATCCACTCGGAAATATATATTTGTTTAGCATACATCACTGTAAAATGTCCTGTTAACAGTTATACTACATTTTGAGCACAATGCTTCATGCATTTCAGTGATCCTTAAATCCTATAGGCAGACTAGCATTATTATCCCTGGGGTGAGGTGTGACTGAGAGACACCAACTTCCCCAAGGTCTCCTTGTGAGTTCATAACAAAGGTAGCATTTTGAACAGAAGGGCTTCTAAATTCACAGTCCAGCACTGGTCACTCCTGTATACTTGCTCTTATTGCTGGATATAAATAGGAAATACATGCTCAAAAATCTAGTCACTAACTTCTTTCTGAAGTGCAAACAAAGGAACCAATATTATAGTATTGGGGGCTTTAGGTTGCTTTCTTTTTAATCTGTGTTCCATGTTTTTTCTCTTCTAGTGGGAAACAAAAGTTCAACAGGGAGAAAGGGATTTTGAGCAAATCTCCAAAACAATACGTAAAGAAGTAGGAAGATTTGAGGCATGTATATAGTTCTTAATTAAAAATTCAGAAAATCACACTTAATAAGAAATTATTTTGGCTAGTTTGTTCATGTTGTGAAAATTTCAATTCCTTTTTTCTTACCTAATAGAAAGAACGTGTGAGAGACTTCAAAGCTGTTATAATCAAATATTTGGAATCATTAGTGCAAACACAACAGCAGGTAAGGTTAATTTAAGGTATATATAAGTCATAGAGAAATTTATTCTGAATGTAATAAACATGTTAAATGTCTGAATTAAACTTGGGATAGTGTCTATGTGTGAATGCACTGGTTGCATTCACATGTCACAAGTAATCTTAAATTATTTCCAAACTTCACATTTTTTGTGTAGATATGCCTAACAGATCACTAGGTTCATCATGGTAACTCTCCTCTCCCTCACCATCTCCTTCCCTTTCAGTCTTCCAAGCAGTATCCCAGGAAGCATTGTTGAGAGGATTGATAGCTCTCTTTGAAAACCATGATTGCAAGATGAGTTTAGTTTGCTGCAGCCATTAAACAGTCTCCATTGCACAAACAGACCTCATGCCCTAAAGCATAACAGAGAGAGAGAACAAGGGAACAGATTGGACATCCTTATGTCCTGCTGAAGAGGAGGGACCACAGTAGCAGGAGGGAGATGCCTGATCCACACATGGGCAAAATGGGGAAATGAGATGGACAGCACTGATTGATTCCCTTTCCACATGTAGCAGAGGGAAGCTCCTTGCATGTGTGAGCAACCTGGAGAGGGAGAATCAGCTGAGTTGCTGCTCATTTGGCAGCAGTGCTGTTCAGCCAATTCCCCACTCGTTCCCATTTGCTAGAGAAGCATCTCCAACCTGTCCACCCAATTCCTTCTTGGCAAGCAATAAAGACAGAGGCAGCAATTGCCCAAGAGGCCTCCCCAACCCAGTGCCCCTGAAGCAGGAGTCAGGTTGGGAACCATTCTCTGTCAAGCAGCAGCAAGAATGGGGGTGTAGCAGAGAAGGATCCATCCCAGTCAGCAGCCCCAGCGGGGTGCTGCCACCCAGAAAATTCTTACCTTGGCACATGAGAAGAATAGCATAGAACCATCTGTATGGTGCTGACTTGAAAAGAGTGGCAATGGACTGTTTTCTGACAACTCAGTAAGCTATTGTTGTAACAACCCATAGAATAAAAAACAAATATACCATGATGAAGTACTACACCAGGGTTTGGACAAAATGACAGCCCAGCAAAATCCCTGTTGCTTCCTGTGTCATGTAAACCCACTCAGTGTAAGTCTTTGCCCAAAAGCAATCCACTTTTATTGCTGCTCAGCAGATTCTCTTTAGCTCTGTCTCTAGCAGTCCTGCTAGCTTGATTGATTTAAAAACTATTTATTCAACAGGAGTCTCGCGAAGAACTTCAAAAATGGGTTCTGCGTAAGTTACTTCAGAGAAGCAGAGAAATCATTGTGCTTGATTCATCTCTATAACTTAACATAAATATTCTCTCTCTAGGATTTTTGAAAAATGACTGTTTACCTAAAACAAAGCATGCTTCAAGTATATTTTCCTAATCTATGCTAGTAAATATTAAAGTAGTAGCTATGCCTAGGTAACAATGTAGGTTGTGCATAAATTGGGAGTCTTTAAAACTGAAGGACAGCATATAAGATATTAAATGAACTTTGAAGTTTATTAATTCAATAGCCCTTAAGAACTTGCTTTTCTGAAGAAAAATGGATATGGCATAGTAAATAAGGAATACAATTGTCCTTGTATTGTAAATTTCTTGTACTGTAAATTCTAAATATGTTCCTGCTATTGAAAGATGTGGAAAAATATTTGATAGGAGAAATTTTATTGTATCTAATTAAATTGCTGGTACTTTCTTTCTTAAAGCTGATAAAGTACTGGGAAGCATTCCTACCTGAAGCCAAAGCCATTGCCTAGAAAGAAGATACTTTCAAATATGAAGACCCCCGTGGATGTTCATCCCAGCTGAGCTCAGTTCCACAATGAAATCACTTTAAAATCATCCAAATAAACCACTATATATTTTATGAATTTAACATGTGGCTTTTTATATACTACAGCATTTTATTAACAGCTGCATGTCCTGACCCTCTTTGAAGTGGACTGTGGCATGACATTCTGCAATACTTGCTGAATTGAACACTATTGTGTCTTAATACTTGCACTAAAATGTGCGACGCAAGGCCAGAAGTTATTTTTGTTCTTTACAATATGTTCTGTCTACTTGATCTTTATGAAACAAATTGCATTTATTAATGTTCACATACGCATTCCTGTACATAATCAAGATTTTGTGATTACAGTAATAAAGGGATGTACCTTGTGAACCATTAATCATTCGCTTTGTTCTTAATTTTTATCATTTTAAGCACAGTTTATAGTCAGTAATTCTAAGTTACATAGATTAGGGCTGGGCAAATTTTACACAGTTTTCCTGGTAATGCATAATGGTTCCATAGTTCTTACTTGACTGGCTGTTTCCAGAAGGTGGTGCTGGGGGATTGTGGCTGTGCAATGGCAGCTTTGCCATGGAGTCCGCAGGGTTCCATTTTACTCCCCCATGCCCTTTTAATATCAACATGAAACTGCTGGGAGAAGTTATCCAGAGGTTTGGGCTGCAGAGTCATCAGTATGCTGATAACACCCAGCTCCACCTCTCTTTTACGTCTAGTCCAGGGGAGGCAGTAGCTGTCCTTAACCAGTGCCAGGCCAGGCTAATAGGCTGGATGAGGGTCAGTAAATTTTGGCTTTATGCAGACAAGATGGAGGTCCTGTTGGTGGGCAGTTCAGCCTTCCAGGTAAATGATTTCAACCCTGTTCTGGAACAGGTTGCACTCTCCCTAAAGGAGAGGGTGCACAGTTTGGGAGTGCTCCTCAACCCAGAGCTGTCACTGGAGTCCTAGGTGGCAACAGTGGCGAGGAGTGCTTTCCTTCAGCTTGGGCTGATCCACCAACTGTGCCCTTACCTGGATGAGCAGTGTCTAGCAAAGGTGACCCACGCTTTGGTAACTTCCTGATTGAACTATTGTAATGTGCGCTAAGTGGGGCTGCCCTTGAAGATGGTCCAGATACTTCAGTTGGTTCAGAACATACAACGCTAGTCCTTTACCATCTGCACTGACTGTCAATTGAAGTTCAGGCCCAATTTAAGGTGCTGGTGATGACCTGTAAAACCCTAAATGGCTTAGGACCTAGATATCTGAAGGAGTGTCTCCTTCCCTATATACCCACCTGCCCCTTAAGATCTGAGGCAGAGGTCCTTCTTTGGGAGCCCTCCTTGAAGGAGATTAGGAGGGTGGCTACCCAGAGAAGGGGCTTCTCTCTGGTGGTGCCCTGGGCATATAGAATGCACTCCTCAAAGAGGTTTACCTGACGGCGACATTCTATTCTATTTGGTACCAGGCTAAAACCTTTTTATTTTCCCATTATTTTCATGTTTGACTAGGTTTTAATGGTGGGTTTTATTTTATTGGAATTATTTGGATGCTGCGCTTCATTTCATTTTATGCTGCCTTTACTGTAAGCCCGTCCTGAGATGCTAGTAGTTGGATGATATATAAAAGCCTCAGATTAAGTAAATAAATAAATAAATGAATAAATAAATAAATAAATAATGCATGCTGGTTAACATGGTTCAGTCTTTAATAAAGAAATTATGGGATTCTCTAAGTCAAACTGCTGCACTTGAATATAAGTATTTAGGAATATGACCACATCAAAGACATGCTGAAATATTAACACTGAATCATGGAACTGTTGTGCAGTGTTAAACTGTGCAGTGTTTAATTTTTTTAAAGTGTCAGGTATTTTCTTGAAGGCACGCAAATGCGCACTTAAGGCTTTCTAGTAGATGTTATCTTGCCAGATCAATGTCCTTGGAAGTTTCAGCTGTCAAAGGGAAGTAGTGCAGTTGGTAACTTGCATATATGGAAGTATGGAAATGACAAGATGAGACTGCATTTGAGTACAGTTGTCAATGGTAGGTGGGTAGGGAGCCAGAAAAATAGATGCACCAAAACGGGGGTGGTGAAAAGATCTCCCCTTTAACAAAATAATACTCTTGATTTCAAGAACTGAGAGTTTGCAGAACCCACCCACTCCCATTTTCCATGCTTTCCTAAATTTCAAGTTAACCCAAGAAAGAAAGGTGATCATCTCCCTGACCCATATATGGAGGATTTCTGTGGTTCCGATGATTCTTTTTAAAGTGGCTCAATGGAACAAAGTAATTGCAGCCACATTGGAGAAGAAGAAAGATGTAATGCCACTGGTACTAACACTCCTTTTGCTTTGGCCTGTTCTGCCATGTCTTAAGTATTTTGTTTAAAAATGGGGGTAAAAACCCCTGGAAAACTTGCACATTCTTTTGACCAGGAAATATAGGCTGGCGTACTCTAGAGAGTTATTTGCTACCTCAAAATTTAGTCCTAATAGAATATAAAATGCATAAAATATTCCTAAGATATTTAGGCTGCATTTTTGGCAATGCTTGTGAAACTATGTCAAGATAATCTATACCAGGGGTCCTCAAACTTTTTACCCAGGGGGCCAGGTGAAAGGTGCCAGTGCTGGGCATGGGCCAGAAAGGTGTTGCCAGCAGTGCGCGAGGGCTGGTGTGGGGAAGGTGCGTGCAGGCGCACACGCAGGTGGTGAGGGGAGGCAAGGTGGGGGTGGGCATGCGGCTCGGTCCACAAGGCAGCAGCTTGCTCGCTTGGAGACTGTTTTCTCCAAGTGAGCAAACTGCTGCCTCCCTGCGCGCAGGACGAGGTGGGTGGCAGGTGTGCACACGGGCGTGCCGCAGGCCCAAATGGGCCTGGCAGGCCAGATCTGGCCCCCGGGCTGTAGTTTGAGGACCCATGATCTATACCAAGATGTTTGCTTTTAAAGGCACCATTTTCTTGTTGATGAATGGTGCCAAGTAGAAACCACGGTTTGTGCTGAATTCTCAATAGCACTGTTATGTCAGTGTTTCAACTCCAAATCAATTTAGTAATAGTAATCACTATTTTTGAGTTCTAGAGGAACTCAAGTTTACCTTTGTTAAACTGATTTAGGAAAAAATAAACTGTATGGTTGCACTTCACAATATTGTTGATATTGTAATCATAAACTTTACAATATTTTTGGAATTGCTATAGCAATGTTGAGATTTCAGTCAGTGGAAAACCTTTTCTATATTTAAAAAAACCTTGAGATTCTATTCATTAGAGGAGTCATTCATAGCTAAATGAACCAAATAACATGGCATTTCTAATGGGGCTTATTATCTATGAATTGCCCTGTAACTGGTATATAGCTGCTCCTTTTTAAAAAAAAAAGCAAAACAAAAAATTCACTCTGTTACAAACCTTTTGAGACAACCCATTGACCCCAACCATGCCAGGTCCAAAGACACTTTTCTGGTTTTGCTGCTAGAAAGAACCACATACCAGGCTGCAAGGACAGAGGATGCTTAGTAGTTGGCATCCCAGCCAGAAGTTCATTTCTGAGCTTGGAGCTGGGACTCTGAACTATCCCATGTGTCTAGACAAACAATAGGATTCTTCCCGAAGTAATCTACAGGATGACTCCCGAAGCTCTATTCTAGAACACCCAATTGTAGATAATCTTGGCCTATGAGCAAAATTCCAAAACCAAAAAGGCAATGCAAAGATCAAGCTAAATCTCAAGGTAGTGAACTCTTTCGAGTCCTTCAATAACTACTTAACGGTCAAGCTAGACGTTAAGCAACACAACCTTGCGGTATGGGGAGGACAGAAAAGCTCCATAGCCTGCTGTTTACAGCAGCTGGAAGTTGAAGCGAAACTTTTCTTCATCTACCGGCGCCAAATGTGCATAGAACCAGCTGCACGTCATCGTATGTCCTGCAAATATCTGGACTTTTCCATCTGGACAGCTTGCCCCCCCCTTTCCCCCTCACCCGTTTTCATAACGTATTGTTTAAACATCTAGCCTAAAGAGCAAAAAAGTCGGCCTGGTGGATTTGTGACATTTTGAAGGTGCTAGTCTCATGTAAGCTTGAACCTAAAAATAAAGCGAGTTATCCAGAAGCAATAGGTACCATCACTGCACGTTTTTAGCCGGTCCCCAGAAATGTTCATGATTTGAAGGCAGACCTTAACTGGTTACATTTAATTTCTTCTAGAATAGTTTGCCCGTGGCTCCGCTCGCAGCCAGTTTTTGCGGCGCTCCTCCTCGCCGAGATAACGTACCGGCGCGAGGCGCTGCACGACGCTCCGGGTCGGGGCGGCGCCCCCCGTGCTCATTATCGCTGCAGGGGCAGAAGGGAACACGGGCCGCTTGCGGTGCCGGCCGCCGCCGCCGCCCTCTCCGCAACACCCCTCCCTTTTCCCAGGCCATCTTGCACCAGGAATCACGTGAGAAATGGAAACCAGCGGTTGTTCCCATAGAGATAGGAAAAGGCTGTTCTCGCTTGTCACGTGAATTGCACTTGCCCATGGATCCTTCCGCCGGGCTTGGCGCTGCTCGGGAGCCGTAGAGCCCCCGCTGCCCTCCAGTGCCGGCCCGCGCGCGCACGCAGGGCCCTCTCCCCCCCCCCCCCCCGCGCTTTCCTCCCCTCGCGTCCCCGCTCGTCGTGGCGCTCGTGAGCGGAACCTGCGCTCGCGCACCGACCGTGCCATGGAGGTTTTCATTCCATCGTTCCGCTATGAGGAGAGCGAGCTGGAGAGAGGCTATACGGTGAGTGGCGGGCAGGAGAAGGCGCTATCAGCTCTCTTCCCGCCCACCCTCCGCGCTTAGGGAACAGGATGGCGCGGCTCGGGGGCACAAGGCGTTGCTCGCCTGCACTGTGCGCTCCAGAGGAAGGGGCTGTGTGGTGCTGCTCTGGAGGGGAATGGTACTTGTCTATCTGGGGTAGTGGGCGAGAGATAGTAGTAGCAGTAATAAGCTCGTAGGATGAGGAGTAATTGATTTGGCCGAAATTACAGTAAGTTAGCTCTCTAGCGAGCGGGCCACTTAGGAAGCTGATGACGACCCATTTGTGTGTGCTGGATATATGTATGAAGGTCGGAGGGAAGCCACGTCTCATCGCAGGGTATGCGGAGGAGTGCCCGATCGGCCAAAGCCCTTGGCTTGCCACTTCTTGTTTACAGAAATTCTGGCCCTTAGGAGCAGTGTGGAGTTCATCCTGGAGAACATGCCTTTCAAAGAAAACCTTAAGGACAGAGTGTCCCTGAGTAGATGCTCTTGTGAGTTGAATGCCTCGCATTCTGTCTGGGGACTTCTCAGGTGTGTTCCCAAGCTTTGTTGGCACTGTTTGGGAAGTGCACAGGTCTTTTTCAGAAGTCTCTCTTCATCTTGTGTGAATAAGTATCTAGCTTCTGCTGAAGAGAAGTGCTTGGGTTTCTGTTGTGGGTGTGTGGTTTTCCTGAAGTAGAGCTAGTTGATTGGAACCCTGTTGTGATACAGCAATTCCTAATTGCCAGATTCTTAACTTTAGGAAGTATCAGTGAGTTTTGTTGATTGGCTCCACTCTGGCAGCTTCTAAGGAAGTCCTACTTCACAAAAGTTGCTTCTGCATTTCTCAGTATATCAGAGAGAATGACACAGATTTCATTGTCTCAGAGGGATCATATGACTGAATGCAGCTACATGGCCTGGGAAAGTAAACTAGGGTTACAATTGGTGTTAGTTTGATTTCAGTTTCATTAAGGACATGAAAAGAGAGCCATACAGAATCAGATGATGCATCTGCCTAGCCTTCTTTTCATACAGTGGTCAACCTGTAAACCCCTATTATTTGTGGGGAATTCACAAGCAAAACACAGTGCAATACATCCTTCCATTGCTATTTTACAGCAACTTCTGTACATATCCATACTGCCTCAATACGGGAGGTAGTATTCAGAAAAGTGGCAAGTAGCTGTGGATAGTGTCATTATTTATTAATTTATCTAATACCCCTTTTAAAGCTGTCCAAGTTTATGGCTTCACAACATCCTGTCATGAATTTTACAGCTGAGGTATGAACTATGTGAAGAAGTATTTTTATTTATCCTGAAGCTCCCTTCAGTCAGCCTCATGGATTGACTCCTGGCTCCAGTATTATGAACTATTAACTTCCTTCGCACTCCACATAATTTTGTATATCTCTATCATGTCTCCCTGTACTTACCTTTTCTCTGAGTGGAACAATCCCAGGCATTGCAACTTTCCCTTATAGGGGAATTGTCCCAGGAACCTTTCTGAGGTGTGATAACTAGAACTGTATACAGTACTTAAAGGGTGGTTGCATGATAAATTTCAGTGACTTTACTGTAAGAGGGACTAACATTGCGTACAACTCTAGGCTAGACTGGAACCATTCTCCCTGGCATCTGTTTCTTTGTGTGCAGGGTGATTTGTCATATTTTGTGTGTGCAGGGTGATTTGTCAAATTTTCAAAGGGAAATTTTCAAACACAGGTCTGTCTCCTTAGAACTAGACCTAAATAGGAGCAGGAATTGAGAAAGGGGATCATTGGTTTGGCTGATAACTAGTTCTCTAAGAAGAAAATAGCTTTACAAAATGTAAGTACACAGTTCAAGTAAGTACAGAAACTAGTATCTTCCATTTGACTCTCTGTCATACATAACTTCCTCTACCCAGATTTTATTTATTATATTTATATCCCACTCTTTTCAAGGAACTCAAGGCAGCTTACATATTTCTCCTCTATCTCCTCTCAATCTTGTCCTCACAACAACCACCCTGTGAAGTAGGTTGGGCTAAGGGGCTGTGACTGGCCCAGAGTCACCCAGTTAGCTATATGGCTTACTGGGCACCAGAACCCAGATCTCTTCAGTTCCAGTCCCACACTCTTAACCACTACATCACACTGGCTTTGGTGGCGATTGAAACAATTTTTAAAGGGCCAGTTTGTTCGTGTATAGTTATTGCTTCTTCCATTTTAGCCACCCCAGTTTAACCAGATTTTCAATATGGTTTGTGCAATGGATTAGATTCAGCTTTCCTCCAGTAGTAATATTCAGTTGTCTCAATGCTAGTATTAATGACATTGTGTTAGTATAAACCAACACTTGCAAAATTAACTAGTGCAATGGGAATAATTCAATGTCAGATTTATGCCATTTTCTTCTCTCTACTAATACTACCTACATTGGTTAAGTAGTGCTTCATGTTAGTGCAACATCAGTAGCATTCCCTCTAGGACACTGTAAGATGTCAACCCTTGTTTAATTAAGCACCAACTTGCTGACGCTAACATTCTCTCTATAGCTATTGGAAACCAGTAGCATGATTTCTGAAAGAGAAGACTCATTTCCCCAGAAACCCCATTGCTGCAACATATGCTATTGACATCGCACTAGCAGTTGCTTATGCCATTGCTGTGTTAACGGCCTAGGTGAAGTGGAAGTGTTGGATAGTGCCCATAGTTTTATGTCTTCCAATTTGACAGTGGGAACATCTTTATACTTTCCTTTTAAACAATAATTAATGATGACACTGTTGAGGCTGTTGAAGATGGTTCATAGAGAAATTCTCCTCAATTAATAGTCAACAGTTAAACTTTTTCTTGCCACTTTAAATTGATGACTGGATCTCCAAACTATTGAACCTTTGCTTGTAAATGCAACAGTTGTTCATAATTTGGCAGTGAGTGACCTTTTAAGTGTAGACATTTTGTGAACATATCCTTGGGGAACAATTTAACTTCAAAATTACACCCATGAGCACTTGCTATCATTTAAATATGCTTCGTTTGCCAATAATAGAATAACAAAGACTAGTTAGATTTCTAATGTTGATTCAGATACTTTGAATTCAGTTGAATAAATTAGTGTGCATTTGATTTATATTGACCAGAAAGTGTTGAATTCGTGTGTTGCAGGTCAAGGAGCCATGCATTTAAGAGGACTGGAGTACAAAGGGAATTCTTGACTGGCATGCTTACAGTGTTCTTAATTAAATTTTTAAAAATGCTGACCCTTAGTTGTTTTTTTGTATTAATGAAATTATAGCAGTGAGACAGGATGTCAGATAGTTTTTGTTTTAGTTTATAAGGCAAATAGCATAATTAAAGAGGCATTGTTTATATTAAATATAGTTCCATATCATCTAAAGATTAATCTTATGGTGACATGTGTTTATGTATGCATGGGAGGGAGAGGCTGCAATATTCCTTTTCTGCCCTACCCTAAATTTTTTCAGATGAGGTGAAGATAGCCATTCCTGCCTGCTTTGATACCATAATTACCTTAAATACAGGTGAGGTCTATTGGCTTGTACCTTTTCCATGGTTAATATTCCTGTGCTGTCATGGAGTGGATTAAAGTACAGGCACACACACACAATTTCTTTTCTTGTTCCAAGACTCTTAAATATTAGTTAAGCTACACAATGAGTTCAGCAGGCTGTTGAAGTCTGCCATAAAATTTTTCTAGTCTGATGCTATTAGGAAAGGTAGATGGGGGTATATAAGATACAAGAAAAATAATACAGTTCCAAATTCTTTGCAAATTTGAACATCTTTGGATTTTTACTTGCTTACATTTAAATATCTTAATTTAAAACATGTTTCGATTCTTGAACAGTTATTGTATCAAGTACACTAGATGTAGCCATGCAGTTACATTTAGAGTGGACCCATTGAAGTTAATGTTATTTCAGTTATTCATGACTAACTTAAATCCCATTGCATTTAATCCCACTGTATCTAATATCATTCTAAATCTAGGCCCATTCATTTCAGTGAACCAGTACCAGATACAACCCACTATGAATATTACTGAATTTTGGTACAACCCAATTTTAATAGTACCAATCTTGTATTTTGCATTTTAAGCAGGTCTTTTGTCCTTGGAAAGAATTTACAAAAGGTCTCATGTAATCTTGCACTGCCTCTGTGCAAGCATTTGGCCTATCACTAAAAGATCACCTGATGGGTGAAACTCCTTTTCTACTCAAACTAACTGGATTAGTTATATGAGGCTGCTTTTGTAGAAGCGCATGGAGAGACTAGGGCAGCAGATTTATGTGTCCTAATTTTATTTATTTATTTATTTATTTATTTATTTATTTATTTATTTATTTAAGACATTTGAATGCTGTCCTTTGCGAAAGTCTCAGCAAAAGATTCAAGACATGAAAACCTATTAAAATTTGCAATACTAAAAATTGCAAAACAGCAATTAAAGAAAAACTAGAGTAATGGATTTTAAATTTAGTTATTTTTGTGACCATATGATCAAATTATTGAATGTGATCAGCCCCTTAACATTTTCTTAGCATATGAGACATTTGTCAATACTTCAGCCAAATTCCAGGTTTAGGCTGGAATTTATGTCATTAATATACATATTATAGGGATGGAGTGTGGTTCTAAAATTTTTGATATTCCTACAGTATCATTGCATTATATACTTTCTTGAATACACTGCTTCTGTGTGCATTATTTGTATCCTTCCTTTCCTTAATTAGTGCCTAACAAAATACCTGTTAATGTCCCATTCCATTTATTGTTAACACTATAGATACTCTAACATCCTTTGATTTTGGTCAATAAAGTGCCGTAGTATAAAATGGTATGAGTTTTTAAGGTCAAGGGTCTCCCTTTGATAATTTACTATGAGCATTCAAATATAAAAAAGAAACTTTTCACCTCCATGAATTTAACTTGTTCAGTTTTAAATCAGTATAGAAAAGTATTCATACAGTGTAGTGTCTTCAGACTGGAAAAT